AATAGCCTTATTTTTATTCCTGAATATTCTTTTTTTAATATTTCACTGGTTAAGTTTGATGATCTCTTTTTCCTCAGCTGTACTGTTAAGACATTTGTGTATTTAAACATGTAATATATTCTGTTAATTTTCAGTATCTGCTGCCTTTGTGGATCTGATCCAGTAGAATGTTTTTGTGCTGATTCTTAAACATGGTGATATGTTTCCTTACTTATTTATGCTTTTGGTTGTGTGATGGTGGCCCTTGGGACCTCATCTATGGAATTTTTTGAAAACAGAATTTAAAGAATGTTGCATTAGAAATGATTTACACTTCCTCTGTCAGGTGCCTGGAGGTCACCTTAAAATAAAATTTGGATTTGGATTTTTCAGGCCACGAAGATAGCATAGATTCAAGTCTCAGACACAAACTTACAGTCAGGGATTCTCAGGGGACAGCTGTTCTCTGCCTCTTTGCAGGCTGAGCTAAGGGTGAAATTGGCAAGCTGACTTCTGTGGGTTGGGTTTTCCCAGGCTTGTCCATTGAGGATACCACTTTTCCAGTGGTGCTAAATTTATAGTTTTTGATTCAGGCCTCATACCCTATTTTGGTCCCTGACTTTGTCTCTGGTTCTCTATGCTAATATAACCTTTGAAAACCCAGGCTCTGAGCCACTGCAGATTAGCAAATTCCTATGGCATCTCCCGAGCCAGGTGTTACTCCTGTGGAATTATTCTTACTTGTCATTTGTGGATTCCAGTTGTCTACCTTATTATTAGCTTAACTTGCTTCTGAAGACTCATCTAGCAATTTGTTCATGTATCTTTTTATTAAAGAATAACATACACACAAAACTGTGCTCTAGGTGTAGGTGCACAGCATGATGCACTTTTACAAACTGAACATACCCAATCTTGGTCAGCACCAGTAGACCATTGCTGGCTCTCCAGAGGTTCCTCCTGTGGCTCTTTCCAGTCGTCCTGGTGTGATCCAGGGGCATGAAGGACTGCAACCGTCCACTCCAACACTGCCCTCATAGGCACAGCGTCTTGAGTTGTGTAAGGGAGCATGATGCGTCATTCCTGCTACGCAAAGCTCAAACACATAAGCCAAGGGTTGCTTGCTGGGCTCTCTGGTCAGCAGTTTCTCATGATCTGGACTCAGAACAGAATCTTTGCACATGTGGTTAGCGGTTTGCTGGAAGTGGACTGCTGGTATTAAATTTTGAGATATCAAAGTTTTGGATTTTACGTAGCATAATCTACTGAGTTTTCTTCCTGTTATTTATCCTGCTTGCTTTTGAACAAGACCAGGTAGCTGTGTCTCCACAAATCTTCTAGGCTTACTATCAATAAACTTTCTGAGATTTATTCTGGTTTAGTTCACATACTGTGACTTTCAGTTAATTGATTTCTACAGCAGAGCTGTCTGCGTGATATTTCTGGGTTATCTTATCCTCTCCATTTTATTGATTGTTCAAGCATCACTGCATTGTTCTGTTGTCATGTTTTCATTATCATTACTTTATTTTATGTAAGTTCTTCCTTATTGTTCCCTTTTTTTCTTTAGAAAATTTCTTCAGTTATTTTTAGCATTAATTTGTTTTCAGGTGAACATTAGAACTACACCCCACTATAATTCTCCATTAGGATAATAAGGAGAAGTACATACATTCCATCTATATGTATATATACACTGGGATAGATTTTAAACATATAGTTTTCCAATAAAAGAATAGCAGAGAAGATAAAAGATAGCTTTTCATTTAACCAAATATCCTTTTATGTCTGTCATTAACTTTGACACATCTCAATTATAGTGTGTATCGAATATGGTATGTATTGACTCTAATTTGACAATCTATTTTCCAACGTGTTTTTGCTGCCTTATAGAATGCTTCCTGATTTTTAAATATATTTATTTGCAGCTTCCCAACTGAATTGTTTTGTGTTGGTTTGGATATTTTTCACTTATTCTCTTATGTTTTCTAAGTAAATACAAATTTTGTACAAATAATTAAAATTCTCTCTACTCTTTTCTGATATCTCCTATATCTTATATCCAATTACATTGACTACACCAGAGAAAAATCATTATAATGCTAGTAGATGGCTTTCTTCTCTTTTATTATTGAGAATATAAATAGTATTGCTATAATTTCCTAGACATAAATCTATATTTAACTAGTTATCAACTTCTTTCCAGCAATCTTTATATTTAATGACTTTTCCATTTTTGTATGTTGAATCATGGCCAGATGGAAAACATTTTTAATTGTTTTTCTTGAGGGATAAACAGTTGGCACATTTTATGAGCCATACATATCTGAAATGCATTTCTGTTGTTTTTGTATACTAACATGCGCAACCATCAAGATCGTGACTGAGTATGACATTCTTGAGTCTTCAGAGTTTTCTTTCAAGATGTGATTATTCCATTTTTCTAAAATGTAATGTGGGAGATTATCAAAGCATGCCTAATTGAAGACACTGTGTTGATAACATTTAACTTTCTGAAATTTTATTCATTACCTGAATGCTGGTAGGGTATTAGTGTGGTTAGAATGTGCTCTGTAAAGCTCGTGTTGAGACTTGATTGTCACTGTTGACAGCTGGGAAGTGGGACCTGTAAGAGATGACCAGCTCAGGAGGCCACCACCATCATGACCAGAGTTTTGCTGTTAGTGCAGGTGTGGATAAGTCACCGTGGGATCTCTTCCTCTCCCTCACCAACCCCATGCTGTCTGGCCATGCGGTATTCTGCATCATGTTATGATAGCAAGAAGACTCTCGCCACATCTGGCCCTTTGACGTTGGACTTCCTAGCCCCCAGTACTGAGAATGAATTTCTTTTTCTTGTAAATTACCCAATCCATGATATTTAGTGATAGCAGCAGAAAATGTATTAGAGAGGAATTTTTCTAATTTCTTTTAATTTGACTTTTTCCAGTTTGCCTCTAAGATTAGGATTATTTGATTTTGTCTTGAATGTGGTGAATTCCTTCAGTTTATCTCCTGGCAAGTTTATTTGAATAACAAAAGAAATTATTGTAATTATATCTGACTTTCTCATCTGTTCTAATTGTTCTATATTCCTCAGAAACAATTGTATCTCTAAGATTTAATTTGGATTCTTTGACATTTTATCTGTTAATTTTTCTGTTGTCTTTTCCTAGTTTTGTTTCTTTTTCTTTTTCTTCTATTTTATCTCTATGGGATTTCTGGAACTTATTCATTATCATTAATTCAGTTTTTTGTGGATTGATCTATTTATTGTCTCTAATTTGAATATAACCACTGTAAATCCCACAACAATTTGCTGCATAATAATGCTAATTTTTCTATAATAACTGACTGTTTTCCTCTGCACAGTTTCAATTACCAGGCAGGGTTAGTTAAAGCTTTTCTGTTCTTGGGAGAACAGGATCCTGACCAGAAAGGTGAGGCCAACAAAGACATGGTGGGCTTCATGGGAAGCTCAGAGCAAAATGGTTTCCTGTTGCCAGGATTCTCTTAGCTCTGATTCACAGACCTGAGATGATAAAAACAAGCCTCGTCCACTACCTGACTCTTGGAATTGCTGCCACCGTCCTGGAACTCCCAGGCAGTCACAGGACCCAGAATTGTCCCTAAGCATTAGAGTGCGGTGGACTGTCTGTTCAAACAGTATGGATATGGATGGTGCAATGTGATATACTTGCCGTGGTACAACTAAGCATTTTATGTAATTGGGTTGGATTGTCCTCAGTCTTAGTTCCCTTGGAATCTTTCTTTTGTTCATCCTTCTTCGTGTCCCTTATGATCTCTTTAAGGTATCCAGTTCCCAGTGTCTCAAAGCGGTGTTCTTTTGCATCTCATTTTCTGAAAACCTTCTGAACCAAGAATTCACACAGAACGCAACATCTTGTATGTTCTTCTCACAGGATTTTCCTAGCTCAGTATTCCCCTGCTACTTATCCAACCCGTGTCTCTGTGGGTCTCCATATCCCTGGGCACAATATCTCACTGTTAACTCTCCTCTGTGCGCACTACTTACAGTGTGTTTCTGGGAGTAGCTGGAGGATACGGAGGTAATGGTTGGGAGGCAAGAAACCCTCAGTACAGTGCAGGTGGTACTACATCGTGCATTTACAGCTGCCATTTTGTTGATGCTTTTTAATCACAATTAAAGTATTCAAGAATCCTAATAGTTTCCTACCTCTAAGTGCACAAATATTTCATATTTTAATTGCTGGCTGTAGTCCTGTCCACAAGCCCTTGTGTAGTCAGAACTATGGGGCGATGGCATTTTTTAAAACATTTTTTATTTTATTTTTTTAGGAAATCTAACCTTAAGAGAAGCTGCTCTTGAAATCTGAAGGACACAAATTTTCCGTTTTTCAAGGATGTTGGCGCAGCGGGCCAATGCTGTGGTTAGTGGCTAAAGCCACCGCCAGTAGTTCTGGCATCACATAGGGGCACTGATTTGAGTCCTGGCTGCTTCTCTTCCAATCCAGCTCTCTGCTAATGGCCTGGGAAGGCAATAGAAGATGAGGCTAGTCCTTGGGCCCCTGTACCCTCTTGGGAGACCTGGAAGAAGCTCCTGGCTTCTGGCTTCAAACAGGCCCAGCTCTGACTGTTGTGGCTATTTGCAGAGTGAACCATGAATGGAAGACCTGTCTGTATCTCTCTCTTTTCTCTCTTTCTTCCCCACCTTCTCTCTGCCTCTCTGTAACTATGCCTTTCAAATAAATAAATACATCTTTTAAAAAAGAAAATATGCTGTATATCTTAAAAAAAAAAAAAAGATGCTGGTCCAGCCACAGTCCATGTCCATCTCCAGACTCTCTAATGTGTGTTGGCCTCTGTGTTTAGGACAGGGCTCACAAGAAGTACGGCTACTGTAGCAAGCCATTTGGTTGGCCTTCATGAATGCATGAATGCCTTTAGCATGGGAGTGGGTTAGTTATTGCAGAAGCAGTTTGCTGACACTGAGATGAGTTTGCTTCTCCTTGTCTTCTCTCCATCTCCCGCTTGCACAGGCATGTGCATGGATGCTGTGTCACCATGTGATGCCATCTGTCACATTCTGAAACAACAAAAAAGACCTCACCAGATGTGGCCCTTTCATCTTGGACTTCCCAGCCTCCAGAACTGTGAGTCAAATAAACTTCTATTCTGTATGAATTACCCAATCAGTGATAAATTCTGTTATGTAGCACAAGATAGACTAAGGAAGGTGTATAACTTCTCCGAGATCATATAACTCGCAAAAAGTACAATCAGGCCTCAAACCCAGGTCTGTATGATATTAAAGGCAATGGTTTTATTCTTGTTCTGAGAATTCCTGAGACTGTCTACACTCTTGTTTGGTCTTTAGGGCTGGGGTTGATTTGTGGGAAGCAATGTCTAGAGAACATGTTAGAATAAATTTCATGAAATTGCACAGTTGGAATGACATTTCCAAAATTCATTTGTAATTATATTGGTTGAAGACATAATGAAATATGAACTTTAATATTCAAATGAAATGAAATATCTTTGTTTATGAGCATGTCATATCTTTCCATATAATAAAAAAACCATGTTTTTCTTAATTTACCTGAAGTTGTACATCTTCTCTCTTCTCTTGACTATAACAAAAGTACTTTTTTTTTTAATTGAAGAGACTATAGGACAGAGGAACAAAAAGAATTTGATATAGCATCATTGCTAGGGTCCAAATGTCTGTGTCTCCTTAAAGTCAATATTCTCCTTAAAGTCGGCCCTAACTGTCAAGGTGATAGGAAGTGGGGACTTTGGAGGGTAATGAGATCGTAAGGATGGAGCCCTCAAGAATGAGACTGGTGCCCTTATAAAAGAGGAGCCAAAGAGATCTCCTGCCCCCTCTACATAACAAGGAAGTACAGTCTATGAACCAGAAAGCAGGCCCTCACCAGACACCAGATTTTTATGGGTCTTGGACATTTCTGTCTCCAGAACTGTGAGAAAGAAATTTCTGCTGTTTAAAAGCCTTCTGGTTTATAGTATTGTATTATAGCAGCCTGAACAGACTAAGACAAGGATTGATGAGGTATACTGCTTTTCTCAATGGTAGTTCAGCCATGCTACCATCTCCTAGGTTTGGGGGTTTTTGAGGCATTGACATTCTGACCCAATCTATCGTTTCTTAGTAATGAAACATAATGTATTTATCAGTCTTTAATATCAAAACAGAAAGAGATAATTAAAGTCTAGTATTTTATGTGATGTTCTTTTTAAATGAGAAAGCATATCTGTCTTCTAAAGATCAGCTTATATATTTATGGTCTTTGAACATACACTATCATTTAAAATCAATGAATTTATATGCTTTTGAAGTTAATCATCAATATGCTAATATATTAAATTCAAATAAATAAATCTAATGGAAGTTACCAGAAATCATGGAGAATGTGTGGAGAGTGGGGAGTCATTTGTACTAGCTGTTTTGGAAATGAAAAGCATACAGCTGCGATGTACAGAGAAAGCCTCATTTTTCCTTTGTTCTAAAGGCCACAATAAAAGCAGGCTAAGAGCTCTGCTTTGCATCTTTTCTTGCTTTGTGGCATTGATCTTCCAGGAAGCTCCTCCCATACACACTCCACAGCCACTGTCCACACACACACACCATACTTAGCGTGGTGGAGGCATGGTGGGAGGGAGGAGGAGAACATGTGAGACAAGTGATGAGGTCAGGAAACCAGAAGAAGGGAAATCATGGCCAACTCCACACTGGTCATACAGTGGGGTGGGGCTGGTAGAGAAGCAAGGAAGTCACAGCTGCTCTTTGCTCTATGCTGGTTATTCTGGGCCTCATGGATTGGATGAGGCCACCCTTGGTGGTGAGGGTAGATCTTCTTTACTATGTCCGCTGATTCTCCTGGAAACACACAGTACTGTCTTATCAACTCTCTGGACATCTCTACATCTCTGCATGCAGTCAACTTGGCACATAAAATCTATCACAAGCCCAGTCCCTGTCAACCTGGAACTCATACACAGCTCCTTAATCCATCCTTAATCTCCAAGTAGAGAGTATAACAAGGTTATAATTCTCCCTAAAACAATAAAGCATTCTGTGCAGAAAAGCACAGATCCTGGTTATCTCAGTAGTCCTTCTTTCTTGGACTGCTTGATTTCATGTGGTGAAACCATGGGTCCGATATCAATTTTATTTTTAAAAAAAATTTATTTTTTTATGTGAAAGAAAGAGTTACAGAGAAAGGGAGAGACACAGAGAGTGATCCATCTGCTGATTCACTCTCCAGATGGCTGCAACAGCCAGGGTTGGGTCAACCTGAAACTGGGAGTCGGGAACTTCATTCAGGTCTCCCATATGTGTTTCAGCACCTGGGCCATCTTCTGCCGCTTTCTCAGGCCATTAGCAGGGAGATGGATTGGAAGTATAGCAGCTGGAGCTCAAACTAGTACCCATATGAGGTGCTGACATCACATGTGGAGATTTAATCTGCCAAACCACAACACCAGCCCCAATTGGTTACTCTATTTTTGTTTAAGTATCATTATATTTATTTGAAATTTAGAGTTAGAGTTAGAGTTAGAGCTAGAGAGAGCTAGAGAGAGAGAGAGAGAGAGAGAGAGAGAGATCTTCCATCCACTGGTTCACTCCCCAAATGGTTTCAATGGCCAGGGCTAGGCCAGCCTGAAGCCAGAAGCTAGGACCTTTTTCCAGGTCTCTTATATGGATGCAGGGGCTCAAACACTTGGACCATCCTCCACTGCTTTCCCAGGCACATTAGCAGGGAGATGGATCAAAAGTGGAGCAGCCAGGACTTGAACCAGTGCCCATATGGGATTTTGGTGTTACAGGTGGTGGCTTTACCTGCTGTGACACACCACAACTACCACCTATCTCCCACAATTCCAGATCGGTTTTCTTAATCCAGCTCCATTGGTCTTATTGTCACTGAGAACTCTATCCAGATTCTGGCTCTAGGCTTTCCTTTGGGCTTGATATTCTGTGGTACTGTGACATCATGAGCTTCTAGGAGAAATCCCTTCAGAAAGTCAATGGAAAATCTGTATTATGGAAAAACTGCATAGATTTCAGATTGTTTTTGTACTAAAATAAACTTTTTATAACTCATCTCAACATGATCTAGTTTGAGACTAAAATGAGAGGTACATCAGTTTGAAAAGAGCCCGAACTAGAACAACATGAATTCTGCTGAAATTTAGGCAACAAATGTAAAATTTATGGTGGTACTTGAATAGAAAAATAAATAGTGAACTCATGATGCTTTATGAAAAGTTATGGGGAAAATTCCCCAAAGAAATCTGCACTTTACACAGGGATGACTAATTTTAAGAAGGTGTGAGACAATATTGAAGATTAAGTCTGCCGTGGCAGTCTATCCACCTCAGTCTGTGAGAAAAAAGTAATCTTGTTCATGTTCTCACTGAAGGAGACCGATGATTGATAGCACAAACAGTAGCCACTACCAAGAAATCACAGTTGGTTCAGTTTCTCTAATTCTGGTTGAAAATTAAAGTGGAAAAAGCTTTCTGCTCAGTGTGTCCCAGAACTGTTGTGCCAGATAAGAGTGGAATTCTCAACGGAAGTTTTCAACACATGGGATCTTCATCCTGAAGCATTTCTCCCCAGAATTGTAACAGCAGATGAAAGATGGCTTTAGTACTAGTACAATCCTGAAGACAAAGCACAATCAAAGCAGTGGCTACCAAGAATTGGAAGTGATCCAGTCAAAGCAAGAATGAACTGGCAAAAGCAAAGATCATGGCAAAGATTTTTAGGGATGCTCCAAGACATATTGAATTTCTTGAGGGCAAAGTATGAGAATACTTCTTTGATATGTTAGAAAATGCTTAACAGAAACATGTCTGGGAAAGTTTCATCCAAGAGTTCTTCTCTACCACAAGGCTCTTGGTCATTCCTCTAATCAAACATGGGCAATTTTGCAAGAGTTTCAGTGAGAAAACACTAGGCATCCACCTCACAATCCTGATTTGGATTCTTCTGACTTCTTTTTGTTTCCTGGTCTTAAAAATTTTTGAAGGGTACCCATCTTTCTTCTGTTACTAATAAAAACAGGGACTACACAACACAGTACAATTCCCAGGGCCTGCAGTTACTTGCTTTCTTAGGGATGGACTGGGTGGTTTTTTCATGGCCTACCAAAGTGTCTTGAGCTCTATGGAGCTTATGTTGAGAAACATTTTATCTTTATGTTTTAATTCCAATTTCCATGAACTTTTGGAAGTCCTCATATTTGTGGTAATTTTAGGATGAGGTGGGATAATGTTGCTAAGCAGTGCTGCCTGTTTTTCTCAAGAGTAAGGATTTTAAATAACCAAATAACTGAATACAGAATTGTTAGGAGGATGCTTCTTACTTCTTTACATTAAGCCTAACTCTATAGGATATATTGCATTCATTTGTTTCCAATAAGAATAGTAAAAGATCTATTTTAAATCACAGTAGATTATCTGTTTCTCAAATACACTTAAATAGATACTTTATGTGGAAGCAAAAATACCAAATTGGGTGTCTGTGTGTGTATGCATGTTTGTGCGTGTATGTGTGCATATGCGTGTATAGCTGCCTTTGTAGCTTCTAACTCCTTAATTTGGTCAGCTCAGTAGTTTGGTCTCCCTCTACAGTATTTTTTGCTGATAATTTTCTTTTCTTTATTTCTTTTTTCAGTTTCTTATTACTCTACAGATTTCAACTCCTGAAATTTTATACCTGAAGCTTTGCCATGAAATATTCAAAAGATGCTATATGTCATACTGCTGAATAGGCAGTTTGTTTATTCTCTCTTGGCAAGTCTGCTGCATAACATTGTTTCTAGAAAAGGGGTTTATGTGGATGATTAAAATTCTCACACATGTCTCCGATATACTGCCCATTCAGCCCCCAATATGTGTAGAAAACCATTAGATTGGAGATGATTGCAATGCACTTCCAACAAGTGACTTTTGTTTCTGTTTTTATCAGATGAAGACTTTCAGGTATGAACCTCCCATTGTCCTTCAAACTAATTCTTTTTATTTATCTGCCATTTTCCTCTTTTCTGTCTTTCAGAGAGTAAGCAAATTCTCCACTTGGTGAATTCTCCAGTGCCAGACTGTTGCTCACTGTCCTCTTCCAAGC